GGGAGAGAGAGGGGGGGGGGATGGTATTTTGAACGCATGAGGGGAGGGGGATTAGTATATTCTTATATAGCCGATGCGAACCTGCTGGAGGGTGGAGGAAGTGTAAAAACGCGTGGTACGGGATGATACATAAGCAACGTTTCGAAATATAATATGTGTTCGTTTAGACATTACCACAAATAATCGTAAATATTAAAGCATAGACCTGTAACGAGAACTGAGTCGAAGCGGAGAGGGTGTGTGCATGTGTGTGTGCGTGTACATGTATTTGTGCGAGTGACAAGGGGATAAAGGATAGGAGAGGCGGGATTGGGGGATAAAGAGAGAGAGATAAAGAAAAGTAGAAGAAAGCGTAGAGTGACAGGCGGCTGAGAGAAACGTGGAAACGAGAACGAGGAAATGACGAACGATGCGAGGAAACGGTCGAACGGTGAGGGGCGGGACGGTTTCAAAGTAGAGGAGGGAAAAATTTTAGAGTCGACTTTTTTTTCCGTTCGTTGCGTCGGGGAAGCGAAAACACGCGAAATTCCGAGAAAATCTCGGCTTCCGCCCTGCGTTCCGCATTTCGATCCTCGGGTGCATCGCCGCGACGCGACGCGATGCGACGCGATGCGATGCGATGCGTTCGATTATCGAGATCGGCCATGCGGAAGGCGACGTCGGCGGTGGACGGCGCGGAGATTGGTCGCGCGAGATCACATTGGCGATTCGTTTCACGCGAAGAAACGTCAGGGCTTACTTTTAGGCTTGTCGTGATTTCAGGCGTCGTCGGTTCTTTTTTTTTCCTCTCCTCGGAATTTGCGACAGATTTATTACATTTCAAACGCGATTCGATCGGGCCTTCTCCCTTTATCCGTTACACACCATTCTTCATTTCGTTCTCTTCGCTCACGCCTTATCGACTACCCTCCTATCCTTTGCTTTGCTCAACGATTTCTCTTGGAAGCTCGTGCGTTCACTCTTGGGGATATTTCAAGACGTAGCATCCAGAAATGTAACGTCTAGAGATAAGATTGCTTCATCTATCGCAAGAGTAGAAACATTCGAGTCGATTTCAAGGGTGAGGACGATAAGAATTAATCGCACCAGCGAGAACTCCAAACGAACGCGCGAAGGGAGTCGGGGCAGTCAAAGTTTATCCGATCTACGAGGAAGTAGACCCCCCCCAAAAAAAAGTAAAATAAAATCCCCCGAATGTCTCCATCGAATTGAAGATACGAAGAAGTAGTTTAGGAAACAGAAGTGTACGAAGTTAAAGCTACTCGAATGGGCTAGCGGGGGGGGGGGGCAGAGACGTCGAAGGGACACGACCGACAAAAGAACGCGAACGATGGAGCACAGGGTGTAGTAACGAAAGAATGGTAGGACGTAGTAGCCAAGGGAAAGAGTCGAGTGTTCGGGGGAAGGGGGGGGGAGGGACGGCTCGTTCCGCTTGTGTAATGAGAGACTCGGTGTAACCCTTTCCCCGAAAAGAGGAAAAAGAAACTGGGGGGGGGGGGGTATTGGCGAACGGTACATCCAACCGGGTGCACGCGTACACACATGCAAGCACCGTCTTCGACGTAAAATAAAACGTAGAGCAAGGAGAGAGGACGTCTTCGATTACTTAAGATAAGACGCGGAACAAGAGGAGGGTGTCTTCGATCATGTAGAATAAGAAGTGCGACAAGAGAGGGGAAGTTCTCGATCGCGTGGTACAGCGCGGGCGTAGTGGGGCACGAGGAGGGATGAATGGACGGGAGAGAATGTAGGAGATCACACGATACGCACAAATTCGCCCATCGCCTAAAGAAGTCGTTAATTGTTCGTGTTGTTTCTCGTTGTTGAGCCGAGCGAAGCTACGCGAGGCCCGGACGGAGTGGCGGGGGAGAAGAAAAAAAATATATAGAAAGGAAGACCCACGAAGAGGGTGGCCTCCCTGTGACATATATCTGTATATACCTGCCATCGTGGAAGAAAACCGCGGACGGTTCGATTTTTGCGGATCGTCTCGTCCTCGATCTTAGGATCGCACACGCGCGCATTCACGTCACGCACGTCCACACACGAATAAAAATAGACTGTACGCGCAATTCGTTCACGTTGATGCGATCGCATTTTGCACGAGACACGCCTGCGGGAAACGTCTTGCGTGTCACACATGTTCCGATCGGAGATATAACAGGTGATTCGACTCGAGGAATAACACCGCGGCGCCGACGGCTCTTTCTGGCTCGACGAGAGGGAGGTGATCCCTCGGCTCGCCCCTTTTCCACTTTTTCTCTCTGCGTAAGATTTCTCGTCGCGTCTCCTATCGTATCTTCGATCGCAAATCCCCGTGGAAATAATTGCAAAGAGTGCTCGGTCTCGGCCGTTCGTCTTAGTTTCACATTCACGAAAAACACCTGCTCTGACTTTTCAGTTTAATGCAGATTTAAAAAGATTAGCACATCATCAATGACTACGTTTACGTTACTGTAATTATATCGCCGGCGCTTTTCGACTTTCATTCAAAGAGATCAAAGTCAAAAAGCCTGTTTCATTATGATTATTGTTTAATATCTCGCAAATTGAGCGATTTTCAAATGCAACATTTAACCGGGCTCGAGAGAGTTCGAAGTGAACGTGCGTTTCACAATTGTCGTTAATTATTAATACTGGGTAAATTGTCCGACGGGCAAATACGGCCTAATTACGTCAAAGGGGTGAAGCTCCGAGGAGCATAATTTTGCAATCAACTTCGATCCACGCGGAGGGTCGGTAGAAAATGAAAGAGGATAGAAAAGCCGAGTCGCGCCTTCGTGCTGAGTCAGAGTGCGAGCGTCGTGCTTTGATTAATCGTCGTCGAATTCGATTATAATCTGTTACGCCACGTTTCGGAGAAACGTCCATCGTGGGCGTCCAAAAAATTTATTTGCGCAGTCCGTATACGTGAATCCGGTTTTAACTCGACAAAGTCGCTGCGACAGATAGACGCGCCGCACCGAGGGCAAAGGGAGAAAGTCCTGGTTGTCCTAAACTTGTCAATTCTCCCTCTCATTCACCGCTGGAAATTTATTTCTCACATTTTGAAAATATTCTCATCGTAAAGTTCGAAATTCCTTTGACACTTTTATGCGTATGAAACATTTGTACGTAGAAAATTATAATCTTTTCGTCGGAAGCACTAATTTTTATACTTTTTACTAGGGGGATTTGATATTATAAAAGAAATAAATATACATATACGGTCTTAATATAAAAACATAATATTTATCATACACGACACAATTTTGTCATACAACAAATTTGTTCGTTACATATAAATTTCACGCAAGCGTTTGCATACAAATGTAACGCAGGCAACAGAATTTATTCGCTTATTGTTACCAGATTTAGGACCAATCAAATTTTGCTTAAATTTTTCGAAATTTCTAGTCGAATAACTCGTCTCGAATCTCTTTAGTTTCTCAAAAAAGCCAAGTAACAAATTGCTCGGGAACGCAGCTATGGCATGTTAGCATCCGTATTTTACGTACGCATCTATATTCATGTGGATATAAGTGCATCATATGGGCGCGGAGAAAATGCCGGTCGGAGGAGAAATTGTTTCGGGATGAGTTACGATCGTCCATACCGATCGACCGTTTTGCTATTTACTCGGTCTAGCGGGAGCGCTAAAGTGTTCTCGCTAGAATATACTCTGAAAAATTATGAACGCGCGAGAAAATGCGTGGCAGATGTAATTGGAAAATAAATGCCGCGCGCGCGCGCGCGCGAATGACGTACGAAAAAAAGAGAAACGATTGCAACGTTAGTCGAAGAATCCCGTTCAATTGCACATCCATCGTAATTAGCTTTTCTACACGGGAAAAAAATGCTGTTGAATTAAGCAAAATGAACTTGCTTGAATTAAACGTTAGCGTCACGGGCTGCCACAGACATAATTAATCCACCCAATTGTACTTGCTATGGATTTTAATTTTAAGCATTGAGCTAAATATCCAGATTATCAAGACAACAATCTCATGTTTTTCATTTATTAATACTGATGTTGCTTCTTTTCTCCGTGTAGTAATAAGAAAGACACGTTTTAAAGAGACGTGCGTTACGAAAGTAAAAATACAAA